TCATTTGTTGCAGATGGGCAGATAGTTTGAAAGTTGATGGAAAGCGGTTTAATCATCCCTTTGTTCAGGTTGGTTTTCTCTGTCTTTTTCTCCATGTATAGTGATGCCTCTCTCTGATTTTCTTTCTGGGAAAAGCTGAGACATTTTTTAGGAAGAACCGTATTCTCGGGCATTTTTTTTTTTTTTTGTTTTATCAATGGCTTGATTTTTCTTCACGAAGAAAATCTTCAAAAGCGAGGAGCACTTGGAGGGCGCTGAGGCGACAACACTTTTTGGACTGGATATGCGCGGAAATTTGGAGGCTTTGTTGCGAAATTTGCTCTCTTTCGCGCGCCTAATTCGTTATCGGAAATAAAATTTTCACAATATTTTGTGTGAAATAACTGGAGAAGAACGAGATTTTACTAGAGGAATGCGAAATTTTGTCAAAAAATGCGCAATTTTTGACGAGGAGGCAGAAGAAATAATTGGCCAACGCATGGGCTGCCCGTGCAAAGACGCGTTTTTTGCAATAGCTCCCCGCAGGTTTTTGTCAACGGCACTGGTTTTTCTGGCAGATGCTTCTAGCTAAAAGAATTTCAGATTGGCCGCCAGGACTGGCAGGAAAAATCCCTTCAAAATACCAGTCTTCTTGCTTCTCACTTCCCCGAGCTAGCAACTTACCCGCAAGAAACTTTCAAGGGCCGTACATAGATACTACGCTTATCCGGAGGATGGATTTGAGTGCATTAATACCTAGTCGGACGGGGAACATTCCCCTAAGGTTTCAGTGTTCTAGCTTCTCAGATCCCTGAGTTATGAACTTACTCGGAAAAATTTCGGCGGGCCCGTACGCGGGTACCATGCAGATGTTGGCGCCCATTCTGTGGATTGTGGTCGGCACGTGCATGTAGATTAAGTTCCCGAAGTTTCATCCCCGCAGCTTTTGTAGGTCTTGAGATGAAAGTGCGTGACAGACGCACACACAGACACACGGACACACACACATCCCCTCGTCAATATGCGTTTTCTGCACTGCATAGCTGCAGAAGACGCATAAAAAGTTTTATCTTTAGTGCATACTGCGCCAGGAAAGCCAACGATTCTGTCATTCGTTTGGGCTGTTAAAATTTAAAATTTATTACATTAGCAAATAAGATGAAAATTTAGAAAACGGTGCCAAAATCGACTTCCTTTGCATTATCAGAAAATAGAAGCGTTGACTTTGCGATAAATTATGATACGCAAACATTGGCAATGTGAAGATTGCCAGCGTAAAATTGCTGCATTTTGCTTACTGTTTGCTGCCAGTATGTTTACCGTTATTGACCTATGCGGAGGATTTAGTGGTACTTTTTGGCATGGCATCGACTAAGTTTTTTTGTGGAAATTTTAAAAATTAAAAACAGTGAATGGAGATTGGAAGAGAATGGGAGTCTGAAATCCCCCATGTGTTAACATATGCAGTTTGTTTAGCGTTATTGGCCCACCGTGGAGAGGAACACAATCGAATTTTGACAGTTAATGAAAACACTGAGAGTGCCATTTAAATCTCCCAAATAAGCAAGCCTATATGTGTAGTGACTTGATAGTCTGCCATTTTGAGATTTCTAAGTAGTTCGCTATTCTCAACATATTTCTTCCTCAAGTTTCGGAATTTGTGAGGTGAAGCCCACATGATTGGTAAGAGAAATCCAATACATTTTTCTCCGAATAGTGAAGAATGCGAGAAGACGAGCGCCAAGGCCGTCAGGGGTAGCAGCAGTCGCACTTACCCTAGAAAAGTTAGCAGCAGCGATATGGTAAATTTGGCTGTAATGTTATCAGCACTCCTCGAAGTATCTATGGTAAAGTATCTTGTACAACAGTTTAATTTTTGTTTGTCTCTCATCCAGGGCTTAACAGGGAAATTGCTTTGCCGGTTTTTATGCGTATTGTGCTGTGTAACAGCGTTACAAAACGCATATTGTCACGAGGTTGTCTGCGTGTGTGTGTGTGTCTCCCACATTTTGTCCCGCACATTCAACTCGGGAACCACAAAAGCTGGGCGGCTCAAATTTTGGAATAGTGTTCCCCGCTAACGGGTGACGCGGCAAATTTAGATTCAGCCTTCCCGTATCCGTGAGTAACATGTACGGCCTCGTGAAAGTTTTTTATGGGTAAATATCTCGGGAACTACGGAGTCCAGGAGGCTGAAATTGTAGTGTAATGACCCTTGCCCACGCTCAACCTTGCCCATTCAAATTCAACCTTCCCGTACCCGCGGGTAACACGTACGGCCCCGTGAAAGTCCTTTACGGTTAAATTATTATCTCGGGGACCACGGAATCTGGGAGACTGAAATTTTAGGGTAATGACCCCCTACCCACGCTC